GCCGCCGCCTCCGCCGCTGCCGCAGCAGCAGCAGCAGCAGCAGCAGCAAGAGCAGCAGGGCAGCACGCCCTCCTTTGCTGTCTCCTTCGCTGGCCTCTGTTGACAGCAATCTGCCTCTAGGGGGCCCCCCTCCGCTGCTTGTCCCTCAGCAGCAGCAGCAGCAGCAGCAGCAGCAGCAGCAGAAAAGTGGGGCCCCTGAAGCAAAAGTGGATCTATCGAGGGGCGCAGGTGCAGCAGCTGCTGCGCGCAGCCGCCCTGATGCAGCAGCAACGCAGCAAAGCCGAAGAAGCAGCTATACAGCTGACCAGCTGCTGCAGTGTGCTGCCCCTGCTGCTCTTGCTGCTCCTGCTGCTGCTCCTCCTGTTTTTGCTGCTGGTCCTCATGGGGGAAGTGCCGGTACTTCAGCTGCTGCGGCATTTCGCCGCAACTCGACAGCAACGGAGCGCAGTTGCGCTCTACAAAGCAGCAACAGCAGCAGCAGCAGCAGCACTAGCAGCAGCAGCAGCAGCAGCAGCAGCAGCGAGTTCCCCAACAGCCCCTCTGACGGCACTGCAGACGGCCTCCCAGAAAGTCCAGCAGCAATTGGGGGCCGCATTCTCCGAAGGTTGCAGACTTTGAATTCCATCTTGACTCGCCAGCACTCTTTTGAAGGAGATCTTTCTCTCGGGGGGCCCCCATCGAGGGCCCCCTCTGCTGTTGGAGGCCCTACTCTAGCCTCTAGGGGCCCCCCTGGGGGCCCCCTTAGGGGACCCCTGTCTGCGCACAGCAGCAGCAGCTGCCTGAGGGCCCCCGAGCGCGCCTCTTCCCTAGATCCAAGGGCCCCGCGTTCACTGGGGGCCCCTGAGGGACCCCCGGAGGGCACTCATATTGAAGTGGGGGGCCCCTCTAGGGGGCCGCTGCCCCCAATGCTGCCTCTTGGGGCCCCTGCTGCTGCGGCGGGGGGCCCCGCACTGAGCAGCAGCCCGAGGGGCCTCTCCCTTGTGGCTGCAGGAGTCCCGCGGCTGACGCTGGCTGCTCTGAACTCCGTGGGGGGCCCCCTGGGGGCCCCCTCAGGCCCCGGGGGGGAGTCCCCTGGGGGGCCCCCAGGGTCCACTTTGCTGCCCCGCAGAGCTCTTAGCAGCTCTTTGCAAGCTCCTCGGTGGCCCCGAAATCCACAGCCAGTAAATTCCTTCACAGAAAAGCCCCTAATGGAGCCTCAGGGGGTTCGAGATCGAGAAAGAAAGGGAAAAGAAAAAGAAAGATTTTTCAAAAAAGATCGAAATTTGGACAAGTCCGCTGCAGCAGCTGGCGGGGAGCAGCAAAAGGGGAAAGAAGCAAAAGAAAGGCCCCGAAGAGGCTCTGTAAACTGCAGCACGCAAACTGAAATCTGCGAATACCCAAAAGTCGAGCCAAAAGGGGTTCTTGGGGGCCCCCTTGGAGTCCCGCAGCCAGGGGGGGGCCCCCTTGAGGCTTCCCAGGCTGCAGCTGCTGCTGCCAGCAGCACAACCATCAGCTGCAGCAGCAGCAGCAGCAGCAGCAGCAGTGCGCTCTGCAGCAGCAACGTGGCCAAAGAGGGCCGAAAAGGGGGAAGTGAAAACCTAGCAAAATACTTTGACAGTGGGGTCACCCCGCAGGAAAGCAGCCGCCAGGGGCCCCTGGGGGCCCCTGTTGAGCTCTTTGGGGGCCCCCTGGAGGCAGCAAATGAGCAGCTTTCTTCGGATTTCTTAGCAGACGAGGCCCTATCCCCTCTGCGAGCCTCTCAGGCAAATCCTGCGAACTCCACGGGGGCCTTCAGCTCCCTTTTAAGCGGGTTTTTTGGCTCCCTAGGCGACCCGGGGGCCCCTCCAGAGGCCTCCTTGGGGGACTTGGGGGCCCCCAGGGGCCCCCTCTCTACGGAGCTGGAGCTCTCTGGAGCTCTTCTGTCCTCTGAGGCTTCTTTAGCCAGCAGCTTCAGCAGCAGCAGCAGCAGCAGCAGCAGCAGCGCTGTTGATGGGGCTCAAGGTAGCTCTAGGGGCCCAGCTTGTGGGTCTCCTTCAAAATCTATATGCACCCCGCGAAACCTGCAGCGTCTGAACGTCCAATGGGCACTCTGGAGCACCCACTATGAGCCCGGGGTCCCCCCCGGGGGCCCCCTGGGGGGACCCCTCGGGGTGCCCCCTGGGGGGCCCCCAGTGATGCCTGCGGGGTCTTCATCTGCGGGGCAGTTGGGCGTGGAGGCCCTGACACCAGCTGCTGCAGCTGTGTGGGGCCCTGCAGCAAAATGCTGCAGCCGCCTCTGTGGCTTTCCTTCCATAGGCGAGGCGCGGCGTGGCTGCAGCAGCTGCCACGTGGCTGTGGGCCTCCCGCAGCAGCAGCA